TAAACACAAAACTAAGTATTAAATGTAACCATATTATGTGATACATACAAAATTTAAAGGACGACGCTAAAGAAAAACAAGAAAATCTTATCAAACAATTTCTACACAGTGTTTAGCAAATAAAGAAGTTGGGAGAATCAAAATTCATATAAAGTGTTTTGGGCCAAACTATTATTTCAATTGTTATTTTATGTAGTATCTATTTGAAAAACACTCAACTACTTAACACTCAAACACCTCTATAGGCAACATACAAATCTAGGACCTCAAGGGATAATAAACATCCTCACAAAACATTACTATTCTTTAAAACACTGTTAAAGGATTTAGTTAGAAAAAGAATTTTCTGGAGCAACTTTAAATTATCAAATTATAATCAGATGCTAAACCTCCACAAACAGTTCCAAATCGAACGTGCAATCCCATTTTTAAGCAAACTTCTTTCATTTTAATAATATCTACTGATAAACTCCATTAAAACCACAAATTAACATGCGTACTTAGGTAGCAAACAAAACATTATTGCAATATCATGTTTAGGAAACAAAACAAGATATCAATAAAGTACTGATTGAAATAATCGGGCCAGGGTTTAAATATCTAGTCCATGCCTCAACGGTTGGCCTTAGCGACTCTCTCGATTTATCTTTCTTCTTGATGGCATAGCTGCACAATCGAGTATATCATCACGCCAAAGCAATGGAGCATTCAGTGATCCAAACTAATGAGCAACAAAGAGACATGAACACTTTACCTGTTAGAAGAACCCTTTGCAGCATTAATAAGCTCATCAGCCAAACATTCTGCTATGTTTTGATGTTTCTGAATGCAGATTCACGGGCACCGGTGGTCAAGAGATAGATGGCCTGATTCACCCGACGAAGAGGGAAATATCAACAGCCTGACGCCTGACAACACCGGCAGAACCAATACGGGTAGCATCTTCACGAGGTCCGCTGTTAATCAATCGATAAATAACAAAGCTAATAAAATATATATAATAAAGATATTCCAAAGTCAACGGATGCATTAACTATGCTTAAGGTTTCATATATGCTACCTGTTGATTATAGCGTCAACAATGACTTGAATTGGGTTTTGATCAGTCAGGAGATAAATAATTTCCATGGCATGCTTCACAATCCTAGTTGCCATAAGTTTCTTCCCATTGTTCCGACCGTGCATCATCAGCGAGTTTGTAAGCCTCTCAACAATCGGGCATTGAGCCTTTCGGAAACGCTTCACTGAGTACCTCCCAGCAGTGTGTGGCACATAGGTAGCATGTTTGGAAGGTTGGACACCAATGTAGTCACTCAAAGAGATATCAGTAACCTAAAATCAGTAATCACTCAGATCAAGGATCATGGCAATTAAGAGATACAATATTCAAAAGGGAACAAGAAATTGAGGAACCAAATTATTTCCAATCAAAAGTTCTAGTCAATAATCATAATTTATAAACCCTAACTCAAAAACCATAACTCAAATCATATAAACACTTTAATTACAATCTAACACATCAAATCTTATCAAATCAATCTAAACCTAAAAACAAGCAAGCTCCAATTATAGACAAATAACAGCTAAAGGAAACAATCATTTCATATTCCATCAAAATCAGTGTGATTCTATAGAGGTAAAGAGAACTTCAAAACACAAAATCCAACCCCCTTTTTAAAATGACGAAACAACAACTGCTATACACTAAATCCAGTCACCAAAAGGAAATTTCCAGATAGACTTGCATAATAGTAACTAATGTAGAAAGGCAATAAAAATACAATAAAGATTCAATGAGACATTTCACATAAGAAATCAAAACAGATCTATGTATATGGAGGCAAAAGGAAAAGAAGGAAAAACCTGAACATCCTCAAAAGACCAGCGATTAAAAAGCTTGACTTCGTTGGTGGGTTGAGTTGGGTCTTTGGGTAACTCGGTGGCTGTGGCCATATCTGCCAAAATAACAATGGATTTTGAAGAAAGAGAGAATTAAAGTGAGCCTTAAGAGGAAAATTAGAGTTACTAAAAACTAAAAGATTTTGAACAAAAAAAACCTTTGTTTGGATGAGGGAAAGTGCTGAAGAGGGAGCGGTGACCGAAAACCGAAGTGTGAGTCTTTCAGTGGGGGCAATGTGGAAATAAAAGAGAACCCTAATTTAACAATTATATTATATATGGAGAAAATACGGATGCTAGGGTTTCTTATGGATCAAATAGGCGTTGGATTTTGACTCTTGGTTGGTTTATTGCTATAATCCAGCCCAAAGTGGCAATTTTATATCCCACTGACTCAATTTAATTTCTAATTGAGTGTCAGAGTCAGTAAAATCATTTCGTTTAAAACCTATTGCATCAAACAAAATTTAAAATAGTAATAATAAACCAATCAAACAATTCGATGATTAAAGGGTTATTGTTATTTCTTAAAGGCTCAAATTTGAGCACCGCATATACATGTTTATTGTCAAACGATTAAGTGTCTTTAAATAAATTATATTTTGTATTCACCACTCCAAAAAAATGGTAATAATAAAATTACCAATTACATATCCATTTACTAAAAAGGAGATGTTAAAGGGGATGTTGTCCTCCCTAAAGTAGTGATGGATCCATCCTTAGTATAAGGTGTATACGTGTTTTTCCTGAAATATAAATTTTATTCAGTTAGTTATTTGTTTTATTGATTGTGCTTACCTTGAAATTTTATTTGTACCCACCACTCCATACAAAATATTTGTGTTATTAATACGTGTGTGTCTGTTATCGCAAATATTTCTGGATCGACCAGTACCCCAATAGTTTCGAGTTCAAGCAATTGCGTTTATAAGGGGTGTGTTGTTAATGACTACAAAAATTATGAACAAATAATACATTGTAATCACTCAGACTATCCAAAATAAAAAAATAAAATGAGATATTAGATATCTTAATTAAAGTTTATGGTTTAAATATTTTTCATTATGAACGGAATAAATTGGAGAATAATTGTTTTCATAGTAATTTCTATATTATTTGATTTGAATTAGCCGACGAAAGAGTCAAATACTTATAATTATATATAAAAAAAACTACAACAATAAAATTAAAAAAAATAATATAACTATTAACCCTTGAATTTCATAATTTTTTTTATTTTAATTCGTGAACTTTATTAAAAAATCATTTTATTCCGTCATGTTGTGTGACTCGTATCGATTTTGCATTATCCACGAAATTTATATCATGTAATATCATGTTTCACGTGCTTAAACACATGTTTAATTCATATCATATACATAAATTGAATCGTGTCATAATTTTTCATATTTCACATATTTTTACTCATGTATTCTTTACATCTTTTAACATAAATCAACATGTAGATCGTGCATGTTTCGAGAAAATTCCTTCATTGTCACGTTATTCAACCATAAAATAATGATACTTAAAACATGGTTAAGACACTAGTTTTTTATCATTCTAAATTACCTTTAAAGAAACATTTTTATTAAATATTATACAAATCAGATTTGTTTCTTCTGAAATAAACTAATTTTAATAACCTTTCCAATCATATAAACTATAATGTGTAATTTAACTCATATAATTGATGGTAATCTTCTAAAGTCGTTGTTAATACGTTTTATAAAAAATTTGATGTTTTCTCCCTTATATTCCCTTAAATCGCGAGTTCTGGACTAATTAAAAGTATTTCCTTCACCTCCTTTCTAAATAGGATTAATATTATATTTAAGATTTGTCAGGAAAAAGAAAATACTTCATATTATAAGAAGTATATATTAAATTATTACAAATCAATAATTCATAATTTATTATAAACAAACATAAGAAATTATACTCCCCTAACCAGACATCTCCTATTATTCAAGCTTAACCTTTTAAATTGTCATTTTTAAATTGAAATCTAGTCCTTGACCTCAAATTTAACACTTCACTAAATTATTAGGTAAAGCACAAAAATAGTCCACAACTATTCATATGTTCCGGACTTGTCTTTTCTCTTTAAAAAATTGATGACCATATAAACTGGACGTTAATATTTTAATTGATATGTGATAAAATTTGATCTGAAAATTATTTAAACTGAATTTCAATGGATTGAGTCTTTGTTTATATTATAATGTTGAGCTGGTGCTTGAAATGTTATATTGTCGAGCCAAAGCTTGAAAGGAACAACGATGCCGATAGACATCACTGATGTATAATTTTATCATATCCTAATCAATAATTTAACATCCAAACACAAACGACCGTCACTTTTCTAACATAAAAAGACAAATTTAGAACATTGTGATAATTTTATAAATTTTAATAGTTAAAAGACTCGTCAAAACAACACCCTATTATTAAATGACCATTGTATAATTTTTAATAATTTGGGACACAACAATGCAACACTCATCAAAACAACACCCTACAATCAAGGGACCAATTAGATACTTTATCCAAATTATTATTACATGCTTCATTTAATCAAGTAACATAAACCTCATCTAATAATGAATTCAGTATCCAATATTACAATAATATTTTAATATGGTTTAAATTGAAATCCAACACCATAAAAATTAAGTTACTACCTAATAATTCCAAAGCAAAAAGGTAAAATCAGTCAAGTAAGGAAGTGAAAAAAAAATCACAAGAATAATTTTCTTAAATAGGATTATATCTACAGTAAAACAAAGAACAAACAAAACCTATACCATCTCTTATGAAGAAAAAAAACATTTTCTACTAACCATGCAAGCAAATTTGCCCAAAAGAAAACAATAAATACCTAAAACATAGGTAAGAAGACTTATTGTAAACAATAAATTCATCAACTTTGATAAAATACCTTAATATCTTAAAACTATTTCGACCCAGAATTTTAACCAAAAACCTACAAAGTTAATAGTTATAAGCTATATTAAACACAATTATTAAAAGATACATACAATAATGAAAAGGTGATTATTCTGACGGATTAAACAGCTAAAAGATGAAAGAGAGAAAAATGTCTAAAAACAAATTCAGTTCATTTCAACGTCATAAAATAAATCTCTTTTGAACAACCATTAACCCAAATAGCAAGTCTCGATATACGAAAACATCTATTTTAAGCAATTCAAGAGAACACAGTAGATAGTTGAAATCAAGCCAAAATTAATTTTAAAAAAAACGATCAACGAAGCCTCCTGGCTTCTCTCTCAGACTCGAGCAACGTGAGAATATCTCCTTCACGGACCGGTCCCTTCACGTTCCTCATGATGAACCGGTTCTGATCATCCAAAAACTTGACTCGCACTTGAGTCACTTGACCACGGGAACCGGTCCGTCCCATAATTTTCACCACCACAGCAAACTTAATCTGGCTATCCATTCTGCGAAAAAGGGTGTGGAATCCTAAATCTTTAGTCCTTAAAACGAGATTATTTGATCAATAATTTGAAAGCACATTTCGAAAGAACAGATTAAAAGGAATAGTTTCTCATATAATCAACCAATATAATTCCTAAAAATAGCTAAAAGGAAGCAAATTATTCCTTAAAATAACTAAACGGCAGCAGATCAAATGTTAAATATGATAAAAACGATAACATAAAATACAAGAGATTACGAAGTAACATGATTGAACCTTGATGAGGAGCTGGATAGGGGAGCGGCTGCTTTCTCTCAAGAGTTCGAAGGAGGGGCGAATATTGAACCCTCGATATGGTGTTTATATATACACAAATATTTAGAATGACAGTAATGCCATTGGGTTTGGCCCTTTTAACCTGACTATTTTAGTCATTTCGTTATCTGATTTAGGGTTTCGGAGTACGTGAGGCCCACGGTTGTTGATTTGTAGCTCGTTGACGAGCCGTGTTTAGGCCGTCCGAACAGCATACTATTTTGGAATAAACTGTATGGCTAGTGATGAATTATGTAGTTTACCCATGAAAAATACCATAAAAAGAAAAATATGTGGAAGAAAACATGAGGAAGAAAGTAGTTTAAATATTAACGTGACATAGGAATGGAACATTAAAAGTTTCATCTTTTGGGGAGAATGAGATGAAATATAAAAAAGTAAAAAGTAAAAATAATCCGGATAATATGTGGCTTCCACATCAGCATAAAACCGTCCACATCATCCTAGAGTTTTTCATTTTATGCCTGAGTGATCAAAACAATAGCAATTGAAAAGTTGAGTGATTAAATTAAAAAAATTAAAGTTAAATGATCAAAACAAGAATATGAGCAAAGTTGAATGATGAAAATGTAATTCGGCATGCGGATAATTCGTCTGTGAACCTTGGACGTGAAGTAATGAAGTTGATACTTGATAGAGATACTCGTTGAGGTGAGTCCCGATGAAGAGATCGATGAGTTGGTTGATGAAATGTTGGCGAATTCGGTGAATTTCAAGCCTGCAAGTAAGTCTTCTATTAAACCTTTGAAAAGGGTTAGATATGGGGACGATGAAGATGAAGATTGTCTTCCGCCGAAGAAGATGAGGAAATTGGACGAGGGTTTGAGTTCAAGGAAAGAACGCGTCGTCTGTTTGGATGAGTTGTTCGACCGAGACGAGGTTACCTCATTGCCTTGCGGTCATGTTTATCATTATGATTGTATTGTCAGGTGGCTGGAAACAAGTCATTTATGTCCATTGTGTCGATATGAAATGTCTACGGATTGAAATTTATTTTAATCTTTTCATAGGTTATTTATTGACATATTTGATAAAATAAATACAAAAATTAATAAAAAAATCTTACAATTTATTATGATTCGACTAATCATAGAATTATTTTTTATATCGATATTTTAGTATTTGTTGTAACTCGAACAACTGCGTTGTCTACTCGAGAGAATAGATAATGAGTTCAAGAGCTTGCAGAATTTTGATACGCATACTCGTGCTTATGTCGAATGACTGAGAGACGATCCTATGTTTTCAATCCTTGCTAAAAACATCCAGGAGTATTTAGAGCGTATCGGTAAAAAAAAGTGTAAAAAGATTAAAAAAAAAAAGAAAAACTGAATTTTATTTATCTTGTAAATTTCTTCTTATGGAAGAGATTAGAATAACCAAGTTTCTTGTTTAGTCTCTCAACATGCTAAAAATAAAATTTTAATCAACATAAAGATCAATCAACCCAAAAATGAAATAATGTAGGGGGGGAATCCACGAACATATATTGTAGTGGCTGAAGCTTTCTTCATATCAAATCTATGGCTCGGTTAAAATCAAATGGTATGAAGTGCCTTTTACCATCTTCAATCTTCATTAGTTTCGTTCTTTGTGTTAACTTCCGAATCCTTGACTGGATTTTCCGTTGTTGCTTCAGCATCCTTGACGACAGTTTCCGAGGCTTCTTCTTCACTATCTTTATTTGACAGTGGAACTTCTTGTGATGAAGGCATTGCTTCATGATCCTTGGTTTCGGTTTCGGAAACTAGCGACCGCAGCTTTGCTTCTAGTGATGGAGATGCTGCTTCGACTTCTTTAGTTCCACCAGCATTCTCATTTGTGCCACTACCTTCCACAGATTCAGTCTTTGCTTCTGTCTCTGAAGTTTCTTCCTCCTTTTTCTTTGTCTTAATTACCAAGGGTGGGAGCTTTGCGTCGACATCCTTGACTTTCGATGTCAGAGATCGCACATTTTTGGCATTCGCTAGCCTACCGGCGGCTCTCTGCCATGAAAATGTAAATGTAAGAGCTTTGATTAAAAGAGAGAAAGAAACTGTCATCTACATGTAAACAATAGCAGATAAAGACCAGCATAGAAGCATGGAGATTAATCACGTCCATAAAGACAATCACTGATATGAAGAAACAACAGCGAATTCTGCAAGGAATCAACATCACAAGTAGATGTGCATTGACTCTGTCTATAAAGCATATACTGAAAAGCAATCCACCATACATAAAAGAAATGCTGCAAACTCTATGTGCATTAGCAAGTAGCAACTCGTTCAAATATTTTTCATCTGCACCTTTTGATGCAACTTTCATTAACACTTTTCATCTGCACATAGAGTTGCTGTGGTATTGTAAGTACATAGTTGATTGTTTCAAGTGGGAAATTTGAAGTCATAATGTTAAATAACTCTTTAAAGTTCTTCATCATGATGATTCATTCGATGACTTAAAAAAAAAAAGTAAGTAAAGAAAGATATCCAATGCCTAAAGGAATATAATGTATTAAATCAAGAAATTCTCAATCACATATTGACTTACCTCTTCGATTTGATCCACCCGTTCTTTTAAAACCTCCTCAGATGCTTCCTTGTACATACCTTGAAGAACATAGAGGATGTGATAATGGAGTTCTTCAGATTGATGTTCTTCAATCTTACAACTAGGTACGGTTGCTTTGCAACCCACTGAAAAGAAAGGGCAGTTCACGAGCTTCATCGGACAGACGGTTATGCAGTGTCTGTCCATCTCATGTCTTAAGAGGAAAGCAGGGCACTTTTGTTCACATGGAATTATCTTGAAAGGGCAAATCGAATCGTGTTTCTCCGATTTATTAGCCGAAAATCGAGCATCACACCCTTCATTTTCACAGGTCATTACTCTAAAGCTGCAAGTTGGCATGTGCAACGAAAGTTCTTCTGCAGTTTCAAATTTCATGTTACAGTGATATTCGTTCTTGGCATCAACATTCTTCAGCAAAATTTGTACAATCTCTTCTCTCTTGTCAACCGGCCAAAATCCATTAATTTCCATCTGATGAGCGAAATCATCGATACTGTCTTCTCGCCTCTCGCTTAGTAGCAATGCCGAAACCCGACTAAACAAATTCCTCTTCGAAACAGCAAACTCGTCGATAAGAAAAGCAATGATATCGTAAGGATTGTCGAATACTTCCGCCTCAGGAGCACCTTCCAAGACAACAGATTCAGCCACATAAGTTTCGGTTCTTTGTGTAAGATACTCCACCAACTCTTTCCTTAGGTCCGCAGCTACTGAACCAGGGGACGTGAAAACGCCACCGGTTGTATTGTCGACACAAGCCGTAGCTAACCCCGGGAGGAGTGCTTGAGTTATCTTGAAAAGCAATTCTGCATCACAAATACCACAGTGAAATGCAGGACCAGCCTCTTTTGCATCTTTGATCTTCTCCGGTACATTCTCTACATCACCGGCAGGCGGTTCGGTACTTGTAGGCGGATCCTTAGTTGTAGGGGGATCCATAGTTGCAGGTGGATCCGTACTTGGTGATGCCTACAAAAAATTATGTCAACCACAACATATATCTGGTTTGATGATAAATCTACTTGACAACCCAAAAATTATTCCAAGTCTAATACCCATTCAGAAACAAGGAAACCTAACTTGTAAGACAAAATCAAAGACAAGAAACAACTTGTATCGATAAACAATGTCGATCGTAAAATTTAATACATTGATCAATCAATCTGTGAAATATTTTTATAGCAGGAGAAAAAAAGCCCAGAAAAATCCATGTAAAATAAATTAAAATACTACCTAATAAGAGTTTTTTCAGTTTCTTTAGTCTTTTAGGTCATTTCTTTGCACTTAATTTGGTATTAATTCAATCAATTTTCTAAAGATCAAGTCACCAAAACATTATAAACAATCCGAATTTTAGGCAATGAAAAAAAGATCATAATTAACATGAACCGAGCAATTTCGGTGGTAAATGAATTTTTGTTATTACTTGAAGTCTCAGGTTCGAGCACTAAAAATGTCAAGTGATTGAAAATTATCTTTGAACATACATTATTTGTACTTACCCAATTTGATAAAACAAGATCATAACTGGAGAATCAAATTCTATTCATTCCATATTAATCAAATGTAATACTAAAAAGAGAAATACTTCATTCATTTTCAAATGCTGAAGAATTCAGAGATCTGTCGACTTAAATTTTACTTGCTCAGAGTCTCTTAGAATCGTACATTCAACTAAAAGGAATAATTCAAACATTACCTAAGAAAAAATCGCATTAATTTTCTACATATCCAAACATCAAATCGTCAAACAAAACTAAATTTAAAAAACATATAAAAGAACCGCATTAAATTATTAATCTTAGAAGGATCATAAATGAAGAACCAAATTCTAATTACTTAATCAATCTAATGTAGCACGTAAAAGAAATAATAAAAAGGGGGGAAATACCTCCATCATTTAGAAATGTTGAGAATTAAGAGATCATAATGAAAGAAAACCTCTCGTCATCTCAATAAAGAGAAGAGAAAGAAGGAAGCTAAAGCTGAAAAAAAAAATAGGCATAATACCTCTCCGTTTCCGTTTTTTATATTCAGTGTAACTGCTTCAACGATCCTTTTGGCTTTTTTACGGCAAATGATCATCTTAGATAGTATACCATCCACCTCTACTTCTTCGGAGAAGGTAATTCCTCTACCAACAAATATCATATAATAAACGATGAGACTCAAATTAGATCTTAATCATTTAATTATTTCATCACATAATAAATAAAAATAAATCTTGTGATAATCTTAATCTACTTGGATCAATCTTATTAATATATTTTCTTTTTATATATCAATCAACAACTATCAAGTGACACCTTTAGATGATCACAACGAGAATATAAAAATAGACCATACCCTTTACCAAAAGTGAATGTTTTTCTCTCATCTTATCTCCTTGATACTTCTATTTACTTCTGTTTCTTATTACTCTTTGTTTAAACTTATAAGAGTAAATCGTTACGATTCATCCTTTTTTATATATACTATTAAATTAACTATTCAAAGTAAAAAACACTTGTACTCGTAAATTGAGTTAAGCTTAAAACGAAATCAAATTCAATGTGATTATTTTGCCAAACTTGATTAATTGAGTTGAATTTAAACATTTTATTTAATGAAATGTTCAAATCCTATACTAATTTTATTTAAACTTGATTATGCCAAACTTGTGACCTTAATCAAACTTTTTTTTATAACAAGTTAATTATTATTTTATTTAATGAAGTTTGAATTTAATTTTTATATTTTAACAATTAAAATTAAAATATCTTACATTTTTATTAGAAAGGTTTAATTTATTTCTGATAATGTAGTTATTTTTTGTCAAAATTTACTATCAATGGAATCATACTAACTTCTAAAAGTAAAAAGCATAAGCATAGCTTTATTTTTATACTGAACGCTCATATCCCTATATATGAAATGTTCAAATCCTATACTTCAAAGAGGATTTTTAAATAACCTAAACGAGGATTTAATTTTTAATTTTTTTAATTAAATGAATAGACCTTAAATTTTAATAAAGTACAAAAATTAATTGCATACTATTTTTAATATATAATTTAAATATTTAAGATTTTACATTAAAAAAAGCTTAATTCAAATTGAACTTGAAATGTCTGGTTATATCTCAAAACGCACATTTTTAAAATCAAAGTCGAATCAAGTATTTATTCAAGCACGAGTTTCGAACAACCTAATCCTCCGAGTAATCATGGTCTTTTCATCTCCGCCTCCTTGTTTTTTCTTCCATCGTTTTCTCGTCGGCCAAACACTAACAGTACCCTCTCCAAATATATAGAAAGAAAATTCAACAAAATTGAGTTACATATGTTAGATATGTGACCCGAGACCCGGTAACATAGAAAACACCCACAAAATATACTACTTTTCCATATCCGGTAAAGAGCACAAAAAGACAGGATGAATCAAAAGATGAGGGCAAGTAATACAGAAAATAGTAAAAACGAACACAAAAAACTCTAATCTGATGGTGTCTTTTATCAGATATGCAATATTTTCGACACAATATTCAAGTGTACCATGTTTTTGGTGCTCATCATCATCGAAAGATTGAAACAAAACAAAACAAAACATGGAATGTAAAAACCTGGCAGGTGGTAGATGCAAGTGACTTCGGAAAAAGATCACCGCTACCTAACTATGTAACAGGAGGGAGGGTGGAGGAAAAGTGCAGTATCTTGGAACCAGATTTCACAGTCTCTCTTCAGAGGAAGTAATCGGGCGTTCTGCGAGTAACATCGGGTTCTCCTCTCCTTGGAGCAGGATCAAACTGCAGCAAGATGAACTTAAACGGTTTTACACGGATGGAAAAGGTATCCGGGAATTCAATTTTGAATGTTAGCTGTTGCTCTTTTAAGCTTTACCTTAATTTGCATATGCATGTGTGTGCAATGATAGGAAAAGGATAATAGGGAGGGAAAGAAAGACCTGGATGAATGTGTGATTCTTGCAATCATCGACTTCCAAAATCGAAGCCATGTTTCCGCAGCGATAACAATAATTAGGTGCACTAAATATAGTTACCACCTTTTGTTCCTGTTACACGGAAATAAATTGGGAATTAAAAAATGCTGAAGCATTTTATACCGTGTATACAAGCAAAAATAAAAATATTTTGACGAATAAGAAACATGAATGACTACATGTGCCCAGTTAAACCCATCCATAACCAGTTGATGAGCTCTCGCAATCAATTTTAAGCTGTTTGTGTGATTGAATTGTTCAGATATATCCTGCAGAGAAGAACCAAAATTTCAATATTAAAATACAGAAATATAAAAAGGCAAGACAACAATAAAAACTTGAACAATGGTCGCTCTGAACATTAATCACCTGGCCAAAAGTATATCCAGCACCACGAGGTGAGATGCCCCAACCACATCGATCATCTGGATCAGACCACAATAAATCACACATGGGCCCCTCGTGAGGAACTTCTTGAACACGATCAAAGTTTCTTATGTTATCCAGGGTTTCAACTGAAGGGGACAATCCACCATGCAGACAAAATATTTCTGACTCCACCTAAAATGAAGAAAATGGCACTTTATCACCGAATGGAAACACCAGATCATTTCAACTACCATAATTTCCCTTCAGCTCTAGGAAGTACAAAGTTGACTTGAACATTACCAAAGCAATATGTCTCTTTGGCTGGGACTAAAGCAATATAGTAATAAAGTTCAATGCTATAAATTCCAACCTTTTCTTGCCCAGACAAAAAGACCATGGAGCACAAGAATAGTATTGAACAAAAAAGCCAAATGAAACAAAACTACGGCATAAATATCATATATAAAAAGTACTAAGGCCGATATGTATGCCCTTGGTTCTTTCTTTCCTAGAATTTAGGTTTGAATTCAAAATAGTTGGCACCTCTATTATTTCTACTTACCAAAGCAGTTAATGGAAAATAGTCAAATAGGTCCGTAAAGATCTTCCAAACATTAGCATTGCCATACCTGTAAATAAATAACCATAAAAAGTATTAACATGGATTAGCAAGAGGAAGAAGCCACTTACCATCTCCATGTGACTCCAATTTATCCGAAGGGTATAACTCCAGCAACTCTAATCCACTAGTTTTATTGATCATATCAATCAAGGAAATACTATTGCAGTTTAATATCTTAAATGAAAAAAAAAGTAGAGCTAATTCATCTATGGCTCATAAAATTACACCCTTTCAAATGAAGGTTGTGCAATAAAAACTCACTTCCGCAGACATTCATCATAAAACCCATAAACTTGAGTGATCTGCCAAAAAGAAAAATACCTCAACAATTAGCTAGACATTCACATTATAGTTTGTCAAAATTTCATATCAAACATTGAATTAAGATTTGGATATACAAAATATAACACATGTCAAAATATCATATTTTGGACAATTCCGGAAGGAGTACAAGAAAATGAAGATGTCATACCTGGCGACTTTCATGATTTCCTCTGAGAATGGTAATCCGCTGCAGATAACGGACTTTTAAAGCCACCAATAGCTGAAAGAGAATAAAATAGAGTCATCCAAATGAAATGCACAAATGGCTTACTGCTTAAATTTGCTATTGATCTCTAAAGTTGTTGATTTCATTTTTAAAGATTACACTAGCAAATTCAAGACCGACTATGAAAAAAGTAATATAATATGCATCTTTATGGGGGGGGGGGGGAGTAACAGTAGGCAACAACAATTGAATCCAGTGATTTAACATCTAGCATCAACCTAGCATGGCATATAGTTTAATTGAAGTACCTCCTGAGTTACGTCAAATTGAAGTGCATCCACCACAGAGAACAAAAAGTGGTAAATAAGAAAAAATGCAGCTACTCTAAATCCAAAGCACCCTATCCAAAGGAAAATCTAAACTCATCATCTCTGTAACCATCATTTAGTCTAATAACAGAAGAAGCTTCCAAAAGGCAGATGCATCTCAAATTCATAGTGTTAAAAGTCACTAACATCAAACCATGTCAGTTCCCCCCACCCTCCTCCTCCCCAAGTGCTGAAAGGAGGATGCAGTCATTTTGATCATGCAATTGGGAGCCAGAAATCATACATTGTTTCTGCCTCCAGACGATGCTTTAGCAGTAACCAGAAACATTTTTTATAGCAATGGTAGAAAATTGCATTTTGTAATTTAACATTTACAATTGTACATACCGTAACAGTTTCAACAGAATAGTACCCACGATCAACGTAATCTCCCATAAACAAGTAGTTTGTATCCGGACACTTTCAATTAAGATAAAACCAACTGTGAGGTATAGGCTCAATAGAAAATCTGATCACAAGAACAGGAAAAAAAGGGGGGGAAAAGGAAGCAAAAGCGTATAACAGACAAGGTGAATCAAGTATATGATAAGTTCTAATACATCCTAAGAATCCCCTAATGACACTAATAGATCTATCTAAATATTAAAAGAGGAAAAACAGTAATTACAAAGGGAAAAAAATAATCAAACCATAGCTCTTAAGCGTTAAAAAGCCAGAGACAATTTTAAATGGCTGATACTTTCAAGAGAGCATAAATTGAAATATCGGTATAATGATACATCTGCAGATCTCCAATTTTCAAAACATTTGAGTTTTCAAAACATCTACAATGATATTACACACTACCTCAGCTGAAACAGAACTGAATACCAAAAAAAAAGAAAAAAGGGGGGGTCACAGTTCGAACAAATACCTTCCCTCCAATTCGAAAAAGTTCAGCAAGGTCATGAAATTGTCCATGAATATCACCACAAATTGTCACAGGGCTTTGCACAGGCTGTGATAAAATAAAATCAATCAACATTTTCCCAGTTCATGGATGAGCAATCTCAAGATTTCCAACATTCACTCATAATTAAACGATATAGATCAGTGTCTCCTGGAATTAGAAACTAAAGACCAGCTAAGATGATAAACCTGGACATTGCTTTCTTGCATTAATATTTCCTTTGCCTTGTTGCATAATGATTTGACCTGACAGCCAACCCGAACAAAATTACCAACAGTTATATTGATTCAAGATATATATATATAGGACTTCCATTTATCAAACTGAGAACAAAGTTTTTCTGTGAAAATGCCTTTTGGAATTCCTTTTTCTGCTTTAAAATGGACAAAAAGATTCAATTTTATTAAATAATTTAAATGAATGTAAATTAATATTTAGCTAGCAAGAAAATTTAGTATCATATATTGAGAACAGCTTAAACGCGATATGTTTCAGAGTAAATACCCTAATTTCTTTCGAAATTGACGCCATAGAATAAATCAAAAATTTGATTTTCTCTTATATAGCTTTGAAATAAAGAAGAAAAAAAGAAAGTCGCAATTTCTATTAAATAACTTAAACAAATGTAATTACCAAGAAAATTCGCTATCATATATTGAAAGTTGGTAATAAAAATTCAATTCAAAATCATTTGTATATTCATTTCTCGGCAGAACAGAGCCTAATAATAGATCAGTGACAAATCAAAATCTCCGTTATTTCTAGGGAAACAAACAGATCGTGAGATGAAAAAAAACCGTACCTGCTGCTCGGAAAGTGGCTTACACTGCATGAGCTGCGAGATCTGTTCATCAAGATCGGCGGTTGAGTCTGTTGGTGACGGATTAGCCCCCATCTTTTATTTATCAGTTCCCCGATTAGGAATGGCGCTAACCCTAGCTTGGATTGGGATTATTTCTTCCTTTTTTTCAAATAATGTTTTTGAATATCCTCAGTCTTCCCCTTTTTTTTTTCTCGTTTTCCCCCTTTTTTACACTCTTTCTGCGGGCTCTTTTGCTTCTCTCACGAAGACGAAATGAGAGAGCGCGTTAATCAAGGCCGCGAATGGAGCGCGTAGGCTGCGAGTGTCCGATAGAGCACATCTGAGTTCATTATTATATATATAAGCTATTAGCCTATTAGGTTCAGATACGATTAAATTAAGCCTCACATTACATCAATAAATTTAAAATTTCAACCAACCGGATCTATTTTATTATTTAAGAATTGGATAATATTTCAGATTTAATTAAAATTATATGAACTCTTATTAAATTTTCATCAAAATTACAAAAATGATTACTCTTTACATCCTAATAAAAATATCATATTTTTTGTTATATTTTAAATTAATTTGTTATATATATAATTTATTATAGAAAAAAATTATTTTAAAAAAATATCATATATATAATTATTATAGATATAATTTATTAAGTGATTCGTGGGTGAGATATACCACTTACATTGTCTTATGGAGTTTCATCTAAAGGAAAAATAAACACATGCAATCACAAAGAAAATATAATAACAAATTGAATATGGAAACTGAATTGACAAAGAAAATGAAAGTCCAAAGATTGGTATCAAATTCGACAATGCCTAAAATCATGCATAAAAAAGAGTATAATCTGGAGTTTACATATTGTTATTGCACAACAAAGTAGGGACAATGACATGTTAGCATTGAAAAAAAATCTAAACAAGGGTCATGTTACCATTAACAGACCGGGAAAATTTTCCCACTCATAATAATGTCAACCTGAAATTATGCAGCAAGACATCGGAACATGCCGAAAACCATATAATCGTCGTTTGATATTGTGAATAGCACTAAGGTTAGAGATGAATCCTATTAAATGTAAATACCTCCGGTTTTGGTCGCCTTTCCCTTTCAATGTAGCTGCAATATGGATGACCCTGTCAAGGTAATGATCGTTACTTTTTATCGAATTCATCTTCATATTCTTCATCACCTGTTCCAAACTCTTCATCTTCTTCTTTGTCTTCCACACTATTCTCTGAGTCTTTAAGCAAAATGTCTTCTCGAGGTATCAGATTCGCATCTTTACCACGATAAAGAAGGCAGGTCCTCGTTACCTGATAAAACTTCTGTCTTATACGAACAAGAGGATGCGGGTTCATGAGTTTTCCCCGCCTATATCCTTCCTTGAGAGCCACAGTTGTTTTGCACTTCAATGACAGGTAGAAAATCCCAGGATATCTAGTAAACAACCGAGTAAATTTATGTGGGATGTTTAGTTCCTCTCTCAAGCTTCTCAGGTAATTCCTCTTGGTCTTCTTATGGATTGTCAAGCTCAAAAATTCGTGCAATACACCAACAGCCCTTTTCTCCATAAGCTCACAATTTGGATCAATCTGCCGAGAATCTTCACATGGAGATATGTAGGGAAGCTTCTGAAACTCCTCCATCCAAGCTCTCACCTTCTTTTGTGCTCCATAACCCCTTGGGAAATTCATCGGGAACACCAATGTGGTTTGGCCCCTCTTAAATTCCCTGTACTCATCACCCCTCTCACCACCCTCCTTACTTCTTTCCAATGCCGAAACAGCAAATTCCTCATGCCACCCTGCAAGTCTCAAAGCTGAAACACCGGACGGTGCCTTAACAAAGCTGAAATGATCTGGGAATTTCGGGGATCAACACTTTCTCAAAGTTATCCGGCAAACCAAGATCCCATTTCAAAGAATGCACCTTGGAAAGCCTCTCTATTGTATCATTCTCATGCGCCTTGTGTATGCTTTGCTCTTGTGAATCTAACAAGAGTGCAGTACCGGTCAACCGAAAGCAAGGCAAATTAGCATAACGCGGATGTGGGAATTCTTCAAATAGAGTAGGGTACCTAAAACAAAGTCAGAAAAAAACAATTTGCAATCACCAACATCTACACACTCTAATTAAACTCGATAGTTAATACCAATTCATTGAACAAGGAAAACAACTTTCCTGTTAGAGCCTACGAATTCATGTTAGGCTTCAGGTAAGTGCAACATACGAGCATATGCATGGCACGAATATGTTCGAAATGTATAAAGCTTTTCCGCATATTTGAAGGATTTTACTCCGCAGGAGTAAACAAAACAGCAGTTGCTCACTAATAAGCATCCACTTACAACATAGGATACTGCTTTGTGCTTCTGCCATTGAGCATGTATATAAACAGAGATTAATCAAAACTAGAAGCGCAAATTTTTTTCTCCAGAAAAATGGGTGATTTTGATATACATTTAATCAAATTTCATATGAAAGCAGTCATGATTTTAGTTTCTACTATATGTTTTTATCATGTACACATAACAGCTTGTATGTGACAATGCAAATAGTAAACAACAAAAATAGCAATTGAAATGAAGCATTTTTATCTACCTATCGTTGCGAAACGAGAAAAGGGTATTGAAAAATGGAGGATGTAAGGCCAAAAACTACCTGCGCAAAAAGCGAAGAACGGGGACAGTGAGGCCGAGGAGCTTTTGCCAACCGACGAAGGATTTGGCCGTAAGAAAACCGATCGGCGACCGTTTTATAGCATCCTTCAAGAGGCAAGCTGCTTTGAGGTCGGTATCGATGTCACTGATATGATCGAGGCTCCGATTCTTGACCCATTTCAGCCTCACTTTCACGATGCTCCTCCATTGTTGATGCTGAATTTGGGGATGTGAAAGCAGGTTTTTGATTGAGGAAACAAAGGTTTCGGCTTTGAACTTTAATTTGTAGTTGTAAATGAATCACCGATTAAGGCGAATAAAAAGCTATAATCTTTGGTGATTTTTTCTCCTGTTCTGTTCTTTCTTGCTGCTGAGAGAAAAAGCCATCACTTGTAACGCAACCGTCTTCTATATTTTGGGTAAATTACGTATTTAATCATTTAACTATTCTCAAGATTATGTTGATCACTCATCTATATTTTTTAAAAATTATACTTAAACTTACGTTTTTAATTTATTTTGATCATTCATAAACCATCTTTAAAAAATAAATAGAAATACTGACATGATATTCATTTTAATTCTTCAATTATGATGTGACATTATCTTATGATAACATATAAATATCACCTTTAATTTTTTAACAGGAGTGGCTTAAACGAAATAAAATCATAAATTTAAATATGATTTTAAAAAATAGTTAAATAACTAAAATAGAACTACCGGATGACTAAATACATAATTTATCCTAAATCTGACCAAATTTTATTTTTTTTAACATGTTGATTCACTCTTTAGCCCCCAATGCAAATGCCCTTGGGTCTAAATTATGACCTTAAATCTTAAATCTTAAATTTTAATATTAAATGTTATTAAAAAAATAAAATTAATAACACATTTAATCGATATTATTAAAGTGATATAGTGGATTTGCTGTATCAATTGGAGTCTACTAATAAAATTATAAAAATAGAGAATCGACTTGGACTAAATTTTAATAAACATATTAAAATTATAGTTAGACCCCTTTCATTTGTAATAATTATTTAAATTAGAATTTTGTGCTTGATTACCCATTTATGAAGGATTTTTTTAAATAAAAAATACTGTTTCCTTTAGATAGCATAAGAAAGACCTTTCAAAACACCTGTTAATGTAAGTTTTCTTTACATTTAATCTGATTTCATTAATTTTATCTATAGTTACAAAATTTTACAAGATAAAAGATAATATATATCTAAAAGACTCAATCATTTGACAACGAACACTCAAATACCCTTGCTAAACAACATGCTCAAATCCGAAAACTTTAAGGATATCAATCTTCCTTTTAACTAATGAAAGCACTCAATTCATGTTAAAAGTTAAAATTTTAATCTCTTTACTTTTGTAAAAACTTGGTTAAAAAATACGTTTTTTTAATCGAAATTCAAATGAATTAATCCAATCTTATCATAAATAATTCGAACCATTCGATTTGGACTCCAATTAACTTAAACTTAGAATAACTTGAAACCAAAATGAATTGAATATATAATGCAACAAAAAATAACTCAAAATGACCTAAAACACGAACAGACTATTATAAATCAATCTGTAATTGATTTGATTTAGTAGCAACATAGATATTATAACATTATGCATGTAAAGGCATCCATCATCTATTAAAATCTCTGCGAAAGCAGCATCTTCAACAGAAATTACAAACAAAAACTAACACGAACACAACCAAATAACCACTAATCCAGTTTCACTTCAAGTTTATCAAAAAAAACCAGAACCGCAAAAAAGGAGTAAAACTAATAACCACCCTTGAGATCATTAACGACATCATATGGAATGGGAGTCACTGTTTCCAATGTAGCACCCTCCACCATGAAACCGGGTTTAGGTCCCTCTGGTTGCCTCTTTGTGCTGATAACTTCACCCTTTGCCTTAGCCTCTGCTTTTAGTTCATCATTCTTCACTTTTCTAAGCTTGAATTCCTCGGTGCATCGTGATGGCTGTACCTGCTCCACTCGCACGTGAATCCTCTTCCTGATTATCCTGTAACCGACCTGAAATCAACAATCATAATAATGGAAGTACACCAAGTTCAAATATCCAATATATGGAGCGTGATTACATGAGTGCTGGATTGGCATAAAGGTTAAACAAGGCGTAAAGTTATAACAAGATAACCTCAAAAGCATGCACGTTACAGCAAATTCAATCAAAACAAGTACCACAGCTTCAAATATCTGTGATATGAAGCTTGCGGTGATGACATGAGAGCACGGAACCGGCACAAGGATCAAACAAGACGAATCGAATGTTGGGAAAGTTCTAACATGATTAAAACCTGAAATGCAGGTATGTTACAGCAAATTTCAAGAAAAAATCATATAAATTTGTATCTCATCTTACTGAAATATTTATTCAAGCTCACCCCAAGAGTGAAATTAATTTTTTCTCTCTGTAACAGCTATTTTGGCATTCCAAACCAGGTGAAGACATTCCATGGATCACTTGTATCATGTAATCAAGCAAATCCAACATTAAAATACCAGAATTCAACACAACTACCATTACACAGAACAGAAAAACATTAGAAAAGGAATTCGTATCTTCATCTATAATACAAGATATTCAATTTCAAATAAAAATTTCACAT